TGTGAAAGACTTGCAAGAGACTGAAAAGCTGAGCCCCAGACTGGAGAAAATATTTGCAAAAGACATGCCTGACAAATGACTGTTTATAAAATACATGCTTAAAATTCAAAAGTAAGAACCTAATTTAAAAAATGGGCCACGGACCTGAACAGGTATCTCACCAAGGAAAATATCCTGCAAATAGCATATGAAAAGATATCACATCATGTCATTACAGAAATGCAAATTAAAACAGTGAGAAACTAGTACACATCTGTGAGACTGACTCAAATTCAGACCAACAATAGCCAATGCTGGCAAGCACCTGGAGCAATAGGCGCTCTTGAGTGTTGCTTGTGGGCGTGCAAAATAGTTCGGCTGATTCGTAAGGCAGCTGCCATAGGCGTACCACATGCTCCCGCAACTGCGCCTCTTATATTTACTTGAAGTAGTTGAACATTCCGGTCTACACAAAAATCTTAATATGGTTTATTCATACTTGCCAAAATTTAGAAGCAACTAAGCTTATGTTCAGTAAGCAAAAGGATAAACTGTAACTTATCATCCAATGCAATATTACTCAGTACCAAAAAGAAATGCACTATGAAACATGAAAAGAGAAGAAATATGCATACACATCACTAATTGCAAGAAGCCCATGTGAAAAGGCTATATATTGTGTGATTCTAACTCTATTACATTCTGGAAAGGACAGAACTATGAAAACAGTAAGAACACAGGGCTGGGAAAAGGCAAGATGAACAGGAATAACACAAAGGATTTCTGGGCCAGTGAAATAATCTGTAATACTGTCATGGTGGATAAATAGCATTGTACATTCATCCAGACCACAGAATGTACAACACCAAGAGTGAATCCTAGTGAACACAGTGGAGGGGGTGATAATGTTGGATCAGTGTGGACTGATCAACTGTAACGAAGTCTCCACTCATGGGAGGATACGCATGTGTGGGGGCAGAGGTATTCTGGGCATCTCTGTACCTTCCTGGCAATTTTCCCATGAAGGTAAAAATGGCCTTTAAAAAAAATGTTTTTAAAAAAGAGCAAATTACCATGTACATACATAAAGACAAATGATAAAGTAAACACTTTACACTACAACATACAGAATACAATATAAGCTCTATTTGAAGGCCACTTTACAACTTTAAAAAGGCCTTTATTGAAAATAAATTAGGGGGGGCTGGGGGTTTAGCTCAGCGGCATAAGCACCTGCCTTGCAAGCAGGCGGTCGTGAGTTCGATCCCCGGTACCGATAAAAAATGAAAAAGACAAAAAAAAAAAAAAAAAAAAAAAAAAAGAAAATAAATTAGGGTGTGGTGCATACCTGTAATCCCAGTACTTGGGAGGCTGAGGCAGGAGGACTGCCTAGAGTTCTAGGCCAGCCTGAACTGCACATCGAGATCATTGCAAAATAGAAATAAAATTTTAAAAATAGAACTTAAAAAATTAAAGATGTTAGTCATATGAAGAAATTATAAAAGAAACAAAAAAGAGGAAGAAGTATCATTACAAAAATTGAAATTGTAAGATAAAGGATACTAAAGCTGAAATTCCTACTTATTTTTTGAAACAGGGCCTTGGTATGTAGTTCAGGTTGGCCCCAAATCTACTATGTGGCCCAGGCTGGCCTCAGATTTTCAGTGATCCTTCACCTCCGCCTCTGCAATGCTGGGATTACAGGTGTGCACCACCACACCCAATTTACTTCTTTGAAATTCAACAAAATAAACCTGAGAGCCTGATACAAGAAAAGGGAAAGTAAAAATAAGTAAAATAGGCAAGGAAAGAGTAAATAATCATGTTTTAAAGAGATAGGAATAATCAAAAGAAGTCTATCTAAACACAATGACTATTTTGTTTTGTTTTGGTACTAGAAATTGAACCCAGGGCCTTGCACTAAACTATATCCGGAGCCCTTTATATTTTGAGACAGGATCTTGCCAAATTGCCAGCCTGGCCTCAAACTAACCAGTCTCTTGTGTATCTGGAATTACAGGTTATGCCACCATCTGGCACTTATTGATGTACTTATTTATTTGGGGTCTTAACTATGCTGCCCTAGCTGGTCTTGAATTCATGGGCTCAATTCCTGTCACAGCCTCCCAAGCAGCTGAAACTAGAAATGTGTACTACCACCTGCAACTGATATTCATTTGAGAAATCTATTAGAAATGGATGACTTTCAAGTAAAATATAACTTAACATAACCTATGAATAGATACCTGGTTTTAAATCTACTATATAACAGTATGTCACATAATACAATGTTTTCATGACTGAATTCTCTATTCAACCTTTTTGTTTGCTTTTTTTTTTTCAAGATACAGTTTTATCTTGAGCTCAGTTTGTACCCAGACTGGTTTTGAACTCACAGTAATCCTCCTGCCTCAGCCTCCTGAGTGCTGGGATTACAGGCGTGACTGTACCACCCCCACACCCAGCTCTTGATTCAACTTGAAAGAGGTAAAGTAACTCTAAAAGTTACTTAAATTATTTCAAACCACAGAATATAAAAAGTTCCCTAATTGAGGAATTTAATATAAACTGAATTACCAAAACCTGGTTAATATAGTAGATCAACAAGCCTACATACCAATCTCCTTTATAGGAGATATAAATGTTCTAAGTAAGATATCAATAACTGGAACCTAAAAATGTATTTAAGGATAATATACTTTGACTAAACAGTATTTGAAAGAGCATACTTTTAATAGGCATAATATCAAAACTGTTTAATAATTTGCAGTAGATGATATCTTTAAAACAGACTTTCAATCCTGGAATATGAACTCTACTTTTACTTAAAGTCTTTAACGTCTTTCAACACTATTTTATATTTTCTTGTAAGTCACATTTTTCTTTCATTCAGTGTCTCTGTAGGTGCTTCCTAGGACTTTTGGATGGTTTCCTTATACTGGTGTATCAGAAAAATGTCACATGTGTTAATCTATTTGGTGACTTTGTTGCATTATCTAAGTTTGTCATAGCATTTTTTTAGAAAGAAAATCACATCTTCTAAAAATGTTTACTTTTATGTCTCCCTTTCCTAATGTTTTTGCCATTTTCTTGTTTTATTGCATTGGGTAGAAAATCTACCACCATGCTGCATGTAGTTTTTCACCTTTTCTCTGACAAAATGGGAAAGTTTTTATCATTAAGTATGCTGTTTGTTAATGATTTCTGATGTCTTTTGTCAAACTGCTACTTACCTAGTCTCATTTTACTGTTTTTCTTTTAGTTTTTGAAAAAAACAATTGAGATATATAGTGATAAACCTCTAAATTAATATAATGATTTAGATTAATAGTTTTCTAATGTTAAATCATTTTGGGGATAATCTTTTTTTTGTTCAAGTGTTGGATTGAATTTGCTAGTATTTGTAGATCTTGACATATATATGACTTTGGCGTATAGTCTTCTCTCCTTTGGCTATTATTGTCAAGGAGGGTAATAGTGTAGTGAGGTGAACCCTCCACTCCTACCCCATACTAAATACCCATGAGAAAATTGGGGAAGTGAAAACTGGGCAGCTTGATGGCAGCATTCCTGGTAGAAGTCAGCAGTGGACACAAGGGGAAAAAATAAACAACTTAAACTGGTAAATTAATCTTCAAAGCATAACTCTGCTAAAACGCATGATCTGGAGAACAAAATCCAAAGTTTTAGCCTGCACTTAAGATCCCTGTACTTTAACCTAATTTATTTCAGCGCTACCAGTGCTTCCTTGCCTGAGTTCTTTTGCCTAGAATGCTTTCTATGAGTCTGTGATGGCTTATCCAACTTGAATCCTCCTTTCAAACAGCCCAAATGTCCACAAACATTTCTCAGACAGATGAACTACGTTTGAATTAACTTTTACTACATTTAACTATTTTTAGGTATTTGTACATTGTAGATACATAACGATCATATTCATCATAGGGAATTTGTACCCATACATGATATATTTTGATCAGCTCTTGATTTGCCTGTTTCTCTGTCTGTGTCTCTGTTTTGTTTTTTTTGGAAACAGGGTATCTCAATATAGTCCAGTCTGCCCTTTGAACTTGCAGTGAGCCTCCTAGCGTGCTGAGATTACAGGCATGAGCCACAGCGCCGCCATTTGCCTATTTCTTAAGAATTTTGACAGCTGTACTGGGTTGGTTAGTGATGCCCCCAAAATTCGTACTTTCCTGGAACCTCGAAATGCGATCTTATTTGGAAACAGTCATTGCAGTTATTAGTAGTTATGACACGATCATACTGGAGTATGGTGGGCCTTTTCTCCAATAGGTCTGATGTCCTTGTAAGAAGAAATTTAGAATCAGGACAGGGAGAACGCCATTTGATATCAGAGCAGAGTGAGGCCGCTACAAGACAAAGAACACAGATAATTGCTGGCCACCACCCTGAAGTTAAGGGTCAAAGGAATCCACTCAGTCTTACAATAAGTATGGATTACAGTCCCTTGATTTAAATTGGACTTCAGAATATGAGAGAATAAATACCTATCGCGTGATAGTTCCTTTTGGCTCGCTCAGGAAACTTAACACAAAGGCAATTGTAACTTCCTCTCTAGCCCCAAGAGTACATGTCCTAGATAGATCATGTTCCCTCCAGAGTGGCAGAATCCCAGAGGCTTATGAGCTCCTCCTCTGAGATGACCTAAAGATATTGCCAAAAACATGTGGCCGTCATTACGGCAGGCTACGGGGCTACAAAGATAAACAGTAAGAAACCATTAATATAAGGAACTGGTGGAGCAAGGACAACACAGGGGAGGGAGGCTCAGCTCCCAGGCGACGCCCACGGGGTGGGAGGAAATTCGGGAAGAGATGCGAATCTCGCGCAGCGGGCCGCCACGAAACCCCCGCTCCCCACCTTCTCGCCACTCCTTACTGCAGGGACCCCGCAACCGCGAAAGCCGGCGCAACCCCGGGCCCTCTGAAAGCCCGGGCGCACTCCGAGGGCGCCAACCACGTGACTCCTACCGCGCCTGCGCGCACCGCGCGGGGCGGCACTTCCGCCCCACGCCCAGGAAACCGGAAGGGGACCTTTTTCGCCGGCGGGAAAGGGGTTTGAGGCGTAGAAAGGGTACAAAGTAGATGGTACTGTGTGTCTGGTAGAGTAAAGGCCGGCTCTGCTCACCTGGCGGGGTTAGTGACAGCGGCGTCCTAGATAGCAGACTTGGCGTACGGGGTTCCAGGGGATGCAGCAGGGAGCGGGAGTGGAGGTGACAGGACCCCTCCAGGAGAGGACCTGTTGCTGGGTAAGCGCTTACCATCGACCTGAGCCTTATTTCTGGTTCACTGTGCTTCGCTTTCTCCATCCCTCTTGAAAAATGAATTTAGGAGCTCACTCGGGGATAGACGGGAAAGGGAGAAGTACGTATTCATACAACGTGGCATTTAAGAAAATTTTCGGGTTTCACATAGACCATATGGATGGAACAATACAAACTCGGGCACTGTAAGTCAGTAACTCCTGCCTGAGGCAGCAGCTCCTGTTGTATTACTTTTAAACAGGCCCAGAGTTGGTAATTTTTACGTTTTTTTTTTTTTTTTTTTTGAGTCTGCCAGCAAGTTCGTTTGATAGAACTAAGCCATTTGGGGCACCTCCTTCGTTTCACTTTAAGCTGAAGCAGAGAGAGAGGAGACACAGTTGGCCGAGGACAGCTGAAATTTAAAGTGCAGTTTCTTTATTTCCTTCCCCAAATATTTTTCTCTGTACTGCACTCTAGCTTGCTAAACAATTCGTCTTTTGGCGACAGGATTGAAGGGGTGAGAAGTGAAGGGATATGGTGATGTACGTTTAGATACAGGATGAATCCATCAAAGGCAAGTCAGTATGTGTCAGGGGTTAGGACTGTGTCAGTCTACCCCACTGCATAGGTGGACAGTGTTGCTTCTGCTATTTCTCACTCAGCAGTATGTATGTGTGTAGTAACAAAATGTAAAGGTGAATTTCTATTACTTGTTAAGCACCCAGGAAGACCTGGGGATCATTAAACGCTTACCTGTTCACACGTCAGTGAATTCATGGTTTAGAATATTTAAAATAAATGTTGGCCATCTTAGAAATAATCAGAACTATAATGAATATTAAGTGTCACTTTTTTTTTTTTTTACAGTTATGGAAAGGACATTCTAAACCACAGGTCTTTAGTGCACCCATGTACAACACCCCTTCTAGTTCTTCCCAGATTAGAAGTCACCACTATGTGCTATTAGTGGTGAGGCTGTGTCAAATCATTCAGGTATATTGGGACAGAGAAAAGTTGAGAATCCCTCATCCATATTTTTAACCTCTACCTTCATCCTCCCAAGCATACAGAAATTTGAAACTGCTTTGCTTGCTAGTGAAGAGGCTTTTCCTTTGATCTGAAGTTAATTTGACATCTTATTTGTCTTTTCAGGTATGTGTGCTCCCTTGAAGCAGAAAGCAATTGTTCCCATTTGGATTATTCAAATATTATGAAGGCACAGTCCCTGCCTTTGACCTGCTTACAATCAAATGGAGGAGACACAGTGGTTACAGGGTAGCCACTTAGGGATTCTAAAATAGGTGAGTATATGGCACTCATCTCTTCTCATGCAAGTTGTTTGAATCAGCTACAAGGTTGTTTGAATCAGCTACAAGGTTTCTAATTTTTGCAGTTCCAATAAATGATAGTTTAGTTCCACAAAGGATGGAGGAAACCTTGATTCTGTCAGTGTGGGGAAATGAAGAACAAGCATCCCATCAGGGAGTTGGACCTAGTTTTTTTTCTGGGGTTGTAGTGCAGGGAAGTAGTAAGGCATGGTTTACTTGACCACCAGCACCCACACAGGCGCACCTTTCCCAGAGTGATGACTGTGTTCGGGGCAGTGGAGCCCAGGTCATAGTCACTCCTGCCAGGAGACTTCCTGGTGACAAAAAAGATGCTGCCTGGCTGGGGTCTTTTTTACCCAAATAAACTGTCATCTTACATTTAGCTTAATTAACCTTTGGGTGCAGTGAAGGAGTCACATGTGAACAGTTTAGTTCTAAGCGTGTAGTTCCAAGTTGTCTTTCCTTTAACCTCATAAAGCTGGACCTGGTGGTGTTCGGAGACTGAGAAAACAGAGTCCTTGAAGTCAAGCTGACTCTGCATTTAGCCTCCTAAATGAAAAGGTAGATAGAACAGGTCTTGTTTGCAAAAGAAACCCAAGACCTACTTATCTACCAACAGCAAATTAGACACTTTCCATGGTCTTACTGTAGAGAATAAGAATAGTAAGTTTATAGAGCAGAAAGGTGTATTAAACACAAGGCTGTTACTCTGCTAATTGGTAGGAAGGTGACTAGAAATTGGATAAGTGATTTGCTAAGTCTAGGAGAGGAGTTTCCTGCAGTGCAAGCTTCTTAGAGCCTAGAAAGTTTTCTGGTGGCCAGACTTCATTGGATAGAGACTGTATGGTCACAGAATGCCATGTTATGGCAAATCATGCAGCAGCAGCCTCTTGTGTGAGCTGAGGAAGATTATGATCTTTACATACCTTGTAGGATGAGGAGTATTGAGATATCCCTGTCACCCCTGCATTTGTGCCCTGCACTGATTACCTAGTACATGCTTTAGAAATATTTTTTTATCAGATGTGTATAAGTGACACTACATCATTTGAGCCAGTAGAAAGCCAATTATTACTACACATATACTTTTAAATATAAAAAGCAACTTAATTTTGCTAGAAACTAGTGTCATTTGAGGTCCCAAGTTGCTAATGAATTTTCTAAGCCCACTTAAGTAGGGTGCTCTAAATTCTGAGTGTTTTGATTACTAAACCCTTGCTAGTTTTCACCCAGATTTTATGGTTGTTTTACATATTCTCTTTGCCCTGTGTTACGATGGGAAAGCCAAAGCTTATGTAATGACTTGCTCAGGAATTATTACAGGTAAAGCTAAGGGGAGAATACATTAGATTTTATCATTATTTGTTTTAAATGCCCAGCCTCAGGAATTGTGGTTTCAGTTGTCTAATTTAAAAAAAAAAAAAAAAAAAAAAAACCTTTTTGTTTTGTTTTTAACAGATTTATCAGCAGGCTGCAGGTGCACATGGCCTTGAGGTAAAGACTGTCCCTTGTTGAAACTTAGTTTTAACAGATTATTCATTGTACTTTAAAAAACTGGAATCTTATAAAAAGCAAATTATGTTTAGTTTTATTATAGACATCTTTTTCCTATAGAAGTTGAAAAAGGTGTTTAAACAAAAGGTTTGTTATGTAAATGATTGCAATTCCTGAAGGTGGTTGTTTCCATTGTTTAAATGATTTGACATGTTAAAGATAACTCCAGACAGTTTATTCTTTCTCTAATAAATATTTATTAAAACCTAAGCAAGTGTCAAGTTTTTAATCAGTGTTCATATTACTTGTGAGAAATTCATAAAGCCTTCTAGAACTCTGTATTCAAACATGCCATAGGTGTGATACCTTATTTCCTACTTAGTAGATTCTGTTTCAGTAGCGGGGAACATTTTTGAGTATGTACATATGTATATTGTTTAGAATTGAGCCATTTCTGTACTTATGCCGCTGTACTTTATTTCAAGGAGGGTAATCCAGCTTGTTGTGGCAGCTCTGTGTGTGTGCTGTGTGTGTATGTGTATGTGTAACAAGTTATTACATTGTCAGGGTGACTGGCTGATTTGGAACCCTGAGCTGCTGTTCATACCAGTAGACAGTTCAGTAGAAGGTGAGAGATGTCCCATGGATCAGACTTTAAGTGTACTGGAAAACTTGCATTGAAAGTAAAAGATTTTCTTCACCTTAAATACCCTAAGTGATGAGCTTAGGATATGTCTGTTTACAGAGGTGTCCACGGTGCAGGATGCTAAATTGTCTCTGGTGCTAACTGCTCTACAGGTGCATTTCTTTCTCTGCAGCTTGCCTCAGCTTTAGCCATGCTGTGTGCAGAGCTTATCTGGCAACTGGGGCTGTGAGCTGGAGAACCAGAAACGCAGCTGACAGTTGGGGCCCAAAGTCACCGGATGGCACAGGGCTGTAAGGCTAGCCAAAGAGCCGCTGGTCAGAGACCACTGGCCAGTAATGCCTTGCTCCTCAGCAGGTGGATGGTTGAAGAAACTGTATACTTGCTGTATGTTGTGTACTGTTATGGCCTCTGAGAATTGTCATCAAGTCTTCCAACTCTGTGAGACAAGTAGTATTGTTTCCCTTGGTTTGAAAGGAAACAGAAAGTCTGGAAAATAAGTTGACTTTTCTGTGTCATAAGGCAAAGTAGTCAAATCCAGGCCTTCCAATTTCAAATCTGGCTCTTCATGTTGCAAGTGTAGGATTGCCTACCCTGTCCCCCCACCTCCCCACCATGCACACACAGTGGAAGCCCCATGTTCAGGTGTAGGCCATGGTATGTTTCTGTACAGCAGCAGTAAAGAGTGTACCATGTTCCCCAGGTCCCCCCTTCTTTCCCCTTCAGCTGTCTCTGTCCCCTGCCTGGCCACAGATCCTTGGCTGGAGTTTTTGAAAGCACCCACAGGGCTCACATGGAGAGCAGTGAGGCCAGAGAACAGTGAAGCCAGAGAGCATGGTTGAAAGAAGATACTTAAGCATCTGGGGGTGCACCTACCGTATGGTAACCCTTGAGGTGCAAGTGATGAATCAGATACTGTCCCTGCCTTCATGGAAGTGGGTGCGACAGGTGATTTCAAAACCAGTGGTGTGAGCATGGTGAGGGTGAGAACAGGGTATCACCTACTGCCCCGTGCACCTTTGGGAAGCAGGCAGGTCAGAGGCCTTGAAGGGCAGGTTCATTCCCAGGTCTGTTCTTGGTGACTGATGAAATATGAATGCATAGTGACTGCTAAAGCTTTAAGACTTTCCCGACCTCTCCCATGCTCCAGAGGCCTCAAAGACACAATATCTTACAGATAAGACAAATGCAGTTTGACTGCTTGGGAGGCCTGGGCTCACTGAGTCAGATCCCTCATTTCATTTCTTTTGCAGCTCAGCCTGCTGGGGACTACCCTCGTATCACACAGGCAGCAGCACCTGCCACTTGGCCTGCCAGGTCACAGCCTGAGCCACAAATGATGTTGGAGACATGGTGCCTGAATGCCAGATTTAGCCAGCCGAGGCACGAGTGATTGACAAAGGCACAGAAGCAAGAAAGGAAAAGACATGAGAAGGATCTAGTAGAAAGTGGCATGCATTGGCATTGAAATGCCATTATGTATCTTCAGACACCCAGGCTTTTCCAGAGAAAAACAGGGGTGCACAAATTGTTGAAGCTGACAACTGAACGTGTATAGATGCTGAGCAATGTCCACGTTGAAAAATGACAACTTTGAATTCTCATAGTCTAATAGGATGCCAATCTTCTTTGGAGGAACAGTTATTCTTATATCTGGAGTTGTCCTGTTGTGCAGAAATTCATACTTATGCCTGAAAATTAGATGTTGATAGAGCAAAACTTCAGAAAATCTGTATATGAGCTATTTATGGAATGTTTCATACTTTATTTATACTCTTACGATTTTGTTATTTTGTTTATTAAATGACTACCAGAGTATCTAGCCATTTCCAAAGCTATATATTCTTCTAAACTTTGTTCCAAGCGACCTTAGAACATTGTTCTTGAGTAACCTTAACCTAAGAAACTTGTATGTAGACTCATGAGCTGATACTTTGTATCACAGTTAGTATAGAAACAGAACACATCTAAAATATTTGGGCCTTGAGGTCCACTGTGTGGATCCTTATAAGAAAGGCACTTGAAGGAGGGAGGGGCCCTGTGGTCTTCTGGGTGACAGTGGGCTTTCTGGTATAGACTCCATGCACAGATACCCTGAGGTGTCCAGATCTTAAACTTCAACCCTGTGGGGCATCCTTAAGGCAGGCTAAGTGGTTTGCAGAGTGGGCCCTGAAACCAAAACCAGCTGCAGCTGCCCTAGCCGTGCTGCCCACAGTTGAAGAGCTATGTGCCCACACTCAAGGCCCAAACACTGGTATACGCGGAACAGGACCTGCACGTGTGAGAGCAAGTCAGGCTGTGCTGTCCCTGTTTACCCTACCTTCCTGTGGCTTCTCTTAGCAGCCACCAGAAGCCAGATGAGGCCTTTCCTCCCAACAACCAGTACAGTCTAAGATCGTGAACCAAAAGTAGGGGCCCGCTAGGAACCTCCCCTCCACTTGTCACACACGCACGCTCTCCTGGGTCTCTCTGAGCTAGAACTACAAGAATTTATGCTCTAGATCCCATGCATGGCCTTGCTTTTGCCTTTGATTCCCTCTCAGGGGTCCACCCCTCTTCTTGTAATCCCCACACCTCTCCTCCTACACAGACACCTATATACTTCTTTTATTCTGTTTTACCCTGCTCCTCATTTTTATACCTGTGACCCTTAGTCTTACATGAGGCAGACTCCAGATAATAGCTGACTCTGCATAGTAATTCCTGCATGCCCAAGCTGGTCCTGAGGTTTAGTAGTGTCCAGTGTAATGTAAATCTTATTGGGGGAAGCTGTTCTTCCTATTTACGCTTGAGCATGATGAATTTTAAATAATGACAGCCAAGTTCATGGGCACAGAACACTAGATGAATGTTAGTGAGGTTAGAGATCCGATATTAACACAGGGTGCTAAGAAAGAAGTGTGAGTTTTCTGGTTATTTTTTTTTTTTCCAATTTTCAAAGCAGTGGTTGTAATCATGCCTTCTAAGCAAACATTCTATTGACTGGCCTAGGCTTCATGCAGTCTCTGATCATGGGAGATTACTCCACATGCTCAGCAGCGGAAGCCATAATTATTAAACTTTTCACCCACACTGACTTAAAAGATGGAGTTGAGGTTTCAGATCAGACTGTATCTGCTTAATAACAGTGAAGGTAAGTATAAATGAAAAATCCGCCACTGAGTAGAGAAGAATGCAGTCTGCGGAGCTGGACTGTCCAGTTCTGAGTCCCCATGGGGTGAGTTACCTACTGCTCCTGCAGCATCACAGTCGTACAACTGTGAGAAATGAGATAAAGGCATGTAAGACTTGGTGCCTATGGTTTTAATTGTGTCAGAAGCTGCTCTTTCTGTTGGTTAGACTTTAAAGAAATTAATGGCTATAGTTCCTGAAATACCTGGGAATATTTTACAACACAAGATGCAGAACTTAAAACACCCTGCCCAAATCTTCCAAATTTTAATCTTGGGTATTGAGATTTTGCTTTACCTTGATGAAGCAAATGTGTGCCTCATGCACCAGGAGAAGCCATTTGCACCCAGATCCTCCTGCTTAGGGACATCTTCAAAGGCGACACCAACCGTGTAGTCCAAATGTTCATCCATTTCTATCTCCCAGTAATGGCGCCCTCGAACCGGAATTAGATTTCCCATGATGGCAACACACCTGGTTTAGAAAGCAGAAGTGTGTCTGACTTGGGGTTTCCCAAGACAGGCCACGCAGGTGAAGGATGTCAACTATACTGGGGTCAGCAGGTAGTGGTCTATGAATGTGGAGGGAGGAGCTTGTAAAATACCCGGACCTCTCAAAGCTGGAAGAGGAGGAGACAGATGCTGGGCCCACTGAACAGCTTCTGTTACTGGTCAGGGCTTTTCTAGTAATCATAGAGGTTGGATTCACTTGAAAGTTCACAAGCCAAGGGAAGTATGTGCTGGAAGGTCATGACCTGGCTTATAGTACAAGACAAGCTCAGAGGGCTCCCTCTTTAGTTCACCTACCACTATGCCCTATAATTTCCAAAATGTGCATGCAATCATGTTATCTTTCTGCTTTAAAGCCTGCAATAAGTCTCTCAACTTGAAGGATAACAGCTCCTTTCTTTTGCACTGAACCTTATCTACCTCCTGCCTCAGCTTCCACCTCTTCCCAGCACGGGCCATGTTCAGCAGGCACGTTAAACTATTTGTAGTTCTCTGACAGGATCTTCCTGGCTTCTTTGCATATGTACAAAACACCTATCAGTCTTGTTGGCCTAGAGTACTATTTATCCCTCAAAATTCCAGCCCTCCAAGAATTCTTTCTTGGGCCTGGAACTGCGTCTCGCATACATGTCTGTCTCCTCTTTTCCACAGGCGTTTTCCACCTGCCCCCCCGCAGGTCTGAGGCCTGTGGCTGAGATAGCATCTTCATCCCTTCACCTTCAGTACACAGCCCAGCTCTTCACAGGGCAGCAGACACATTGGCAACAGATTAAACTGAGACTCTCACTCAGCCTGGCTGGACCCCAAAAGCTAAGATGAAAGCAGTAGATGCTCAGTATTCCCTTTTTGCAAAGTGAGATGCTACAACTTTTAGAGACAAGTGCTCAAACTGCAACCCAAAACTCACTTCCTTATTGCAAAGTGCCCAAACTATTAAACCTGAATACTGTGGTTTTAGTTTAGAAAAGAAAAAAACAACTCATACATTGACATCTTTTGTCTTAAGAGAAAAACACAGTAACACAAATGCCATAGGTTCACCATCACTGGGCTAGACCACCCAAGCAACCCTGCCGAAGGAAATGACCAAAACCAGGTTTTACAATTTGTAGTTCAGCACTAGAGTTAAGTTGCAGAAGCCTGTAGCAGTGTCTGTCCAGAAAGCCCCTCAGAAGCAAGCAGGACAACAGCCCCTGGGTCAGAGGTGTGTTTTTCCCATGTGTGACTGGAACCTGACATAGGAAAGCTGCCTCAGTGTTGTATGACTTTATTTTTAGGGTTGAGGTCTGAACAGACGTTGGCGCAAAGAGACCAGAGTCATAGTGCTGGATGCAGGGGTTGATGGCTTGTGAGGAGCTGTCAGAGGCCTGGGCTCCCGGGTTAACAGCTGCAGTCGGGCCACAAGACCACCACGAGAGTCAGGGCTAACAGCGTGTCACTGCCTGTCAGCCAGAAGCTTCTTACTCCTCTCTCGCCGGCAGGTTGAACGGTGGTGGAGGGAAGGAGAAAACTGTTTTCTCGGATACTCTGCAGTTCCACTGTTTCACATGAACACATACAGTGGGGTTTACCCCACAGGCAGGAAAAAGGCAGCCAGGAGCCAGGGGCAGAGGAAGAGCCAGCTGGGGGTGAGCCAAGACCCAGGTGGGGACTTTAGACTTGGTGTCCATCAGGGGCTCTTCTAGGCCTCAGGTTTTTTCTTCCTTGGAAAATCCATCATCTTCCAAATCAATCTACCCAGGATGCCTTCTGCCCTGGCTCCCAGCATGTTTACTGTTTAATCCTGGAAACGGAGCTAGCCCTACCACTCCGTCTTTTATTGCTTTGACTTTTTTCTCAGTATGTTTGCTTTTTAATTCTTTGTACATCTTTGAAAAAAGAAGGACAGCGCCAATAAATCACCTCAATACGAGTGCACAGCTCTGGACAGGCAGATAGAGAGCTCGTGGCAGGTGGGGTGACCCCTTCCCCAGGCCATGCTCCTTTAGGACAGGCTCTCTCTGTGCTCCAACCCAGGCATTTTGTGCAAGATATGGCAGAAAGAGCCCTGGACTCAGCAGCAGGAGACTGAGTCACTTCTGTCCTTCTCGCCTGACCCCTGTCCCATGAGATCCTCGGTGGCCACCCTGGCCTTACAGGGCCGCCCTCCCCCACCAGGCCTACCTCCCTCCTCATGTCTAGAGTTTCCTTCCCCACTGTGAGGCTGCATCTGTTCTTCACATCCCACTCCCTGGCCCGGTGCTGTCACCAGAGCAGTTCTGAGAGACCCGTTGAGTGGGGGTGAAATACCTGGTGAACTGGGTCTGCTGGGGCTGCAGCTCCTGGGTGAGGTTTTTCCTCTCACTCCGGATCACCGTAAATCCATCTTCTGAAATGGTCAGCCATGGGTGGCAGGTGGCCTTGTTCAAGGGAAAGTAGCTTCCTGCAGGGCAGGGAACACACAGAAGATGCTTGGACAGTCCCCTCATGCTGTCTGCACAGGGACCCCATGCATGGGTGCAGTGTCCTCAGAACCCCTTGGAGTCACAGCCTCCTGTGAACGAGTGGCAGCTTTGCTGGGACAGTGCTGGGGCCCGGTACTGAGTGAAGCTATTTGCACAGCTGACCCCTTCGGTCCTCATTACCACCAACAGAAACAGGCATTACCATCTCTGTTTAGTAGATGGGGAAACTGAGGCATGGGTGGGTAAGAAATTTGCTGGAAAATGATAAACTTAAATTTGAATCCCATAGTCCTGTGATTCCAGGGGCTGTGTCCTTGCATCTGGGTTGGAAATGCCTGAGTCCAGATAAGAATTTCTAACTTGCTTGTCAAGGGAAACTAGAGTCAAGGAGATTCTTAATGACCATTTGATAAAAGTTAGCAAAATTCAACATCAGTTTTGCAGTTATGGCAGTGGAGAAGGACAGAGATGAGTCATCCCAAAGTCACGATTAGAACAGAGCTCCTCAAGTAGTTACACAGATCTAATAAAAGTCATGAATAAAAACGCCATTATTTAGGAACACAACTTCTCCATTACTGTCCCTAAGATCAAGTCTTCTTTCCTAGCCTCCCATCTTGTCACTTTTGTTTGTCTCAAACTTTAGTTTAAGCATCACCACCAAATCACTCACAGTTATTTTCACAACCCTTGATTTGCTGACAGTTGAAAGGGAGGCACAATCTCACTTCACAACTAATAGTGAGTGGCTCCTACTGCCCTCTGTGTTCAAGCAGAGATCATTTTTAATATGTATATATGCATATATATAATATATTCTTGCTTATTAATATTCATGAAAGCTTTCCATGAATATTGTACACTCTTAAAATTATTTGTTCTGAGAGAGACTGAGACAGAAAGATTGTTAAGTTCAAGTCCAGCCTGGGCAGTTTAGTGAGACTGTCTCAAAATAAAAAATAAAGGGGCTGGGAGTGTCGCTCAATGCAAAGGCTCTGAGTTTAATTCCCAGGGATGTACATGCACATGAAAAGTGTTTGAACAAATGAATTCAGAGATGACCAAATAAGCAAGAGCTGGCTGTACTTTTTCCTTCCTATTTTCTTTTACTGAAAAAAATTTGATATTTCAAAACAATCCAGCACAAAAAAGTTGGAACTGCAGACAACTAAAGGAAATTCCCCAGCACTAGACAAAACCCCCGAGCCCTGCTTCAGGCAGTCACTCTTTCCAACTCTGTGGCTGTGGGCGGCCACTGCACTTCCTGCCCATCTAGTGGGAGGAATAGAAAGGGGGGCTGGTCATGAAACTCTCCTCCCAGCCTTGGAAAGGAGGACACAATGACACAGCATCTCTCGGTGAAAGATCCCCACAGAGGCATGCTGTTCCCACGTACTGGGTCAGCGGTGGCTCCTGTCACCCACACAGCAGGTTCAGCCAGTGTATACCGTGAGGTGTGGGAGAGCCACCTGGCCCTGGCACAGCTCAGGTAGCAGGGCAAGGGTGACAGGAGATGGGAGGATGTTGCCAGCAAGGTCTCGCTGGAGACCTGGAACGAGATGCGACTACTCTCTGACATGGGATAGCATAGGATAGATGGGGCTAGGGGCTGAGAGATGAGCCAAGGCCAGTGGCTCTCACAAGAATTTGATCAGGACTCTGTCCCAGGGAGGGGCTCAACCTGGGTAAGATGTGAGGCACTGGGCCACCCAAATCCAGAGCCAGAGCCTGAGCCAGAGCCCGAGCCATTGGCTTACCTCAGGGCCTGGGGAAAAACTACTCAGCTGCAAATTGCTGTGACTTGGGTCTTCATTCTCTCCATATGTAAGATGAGACTACAGGGCTTTGGTGCCCCAGGAGCCCTTCCAGGCCTGCCCTGTGTCCGTACCTATGCACACTCATCTGTCTTCTGGTGACATCACAGAAACAAGGGGTCTGCCCCCAGTTGGCTTCCACCCCACAGCCCAGGGCCCAGACCTGTGGTGCGGACCGTAGCCGGAGTGCTTCTGGCACTGGGACCCCCCACGTTGAGGGCTCGGACGCAGATCGTGTAGCTCTGCCCGGGCTGCAGCTGTATCAGTGACTCACAGATTGGGATGCCCACCACAGACCTAGGCAGGGAAATGGAGCAGTGGTCAGCGTGGGGCCGGCGCACTTGGGCAGGGCTTGAGGACCATTGACTGTGGCACACGTGGAAGTCTCTCAGTATGTTTCTGTGACCAGAGCTGGAGGTAGCCACGGTTGTTAACTTCCACAGACTTCCATACAGCCTGCTGTGAGCAGAGACACAGTCCTGTGTCTTCCACTGCCACAGTTGCAGGCTATCAGAGATGCCTGAGCCCAGCCCTATCACCAGTGAGCCCCGCTCACTCTCACCGCTCACTCTCAGGTTCACCAAGTGAACCTGAACTGCAAACAGCCTGCGGCAGCACACAACACTCTTCATGTGCTGAGCTGCAGTCTACTGCATCTCTCCTCCTCCTGCTCCTCCCTGAATGCCAGCCAGGTTGGCCCCTTCATTCCTCCAGTGCAGCCAGCTCACCTCTGCCCAGCCCGTGTCCCTTGGCCCCCTCCTGGGTGGCTCCCATATCTGCTGTTCTCAGGATCACTCGGCCACCTGTCAGTCTGCTGCACTCAAAGAGGTCCCTGCCTCCACCTCCCCATCCCCTAGCTCACTGCATTTCTTCTTCCTTCCTAGCACTTCAGTGCCCCAGAGCATGATGTGTTTTGCACATTGCAGAATTTTGGGCTTTTAGTTTTTATTTTTGGTTGTTTCTGCATTTGGCTGTCATCCATCAGGGCAAGGCCTGCATCAATCTATCCCCCATGCACACGGCCCCCAGACTTGGCACACCAGTCCAGTGTCAGTGAAGCCATAGCACATGTGCTGCAGCAGGCTGTGTCACTGAAAGCCATCACTCTGACTAGTTTGTCAACACGTTGTAGGAATGAATGGAAACCTTAATCTGACTATATAAAAAAGCAAACATGAGGCTAACCACTTATGCTGTGGGTTACCCTTCACCTTTGATAATGCTTTGCTTGTTGTGAAGAATAAGTGACCTGTAAGTAAGATTCTGACCTTCTGTCCAGGCTGCATTTCCAAGCACCCAGCACACGCCCTTGTGACTCACTCGGTGACCCCTGAGGCTGCTGGTTCTTCCACTTGGGTCAGCTCCACCGTGTAGGAGTCCACGGGATTCAGGTTCCCAGACTCCCAGCAGATGAGCGCAGCCTCTTCACAGCTCCTTATCGCCTCAGTTTTTATAATGGGGGGAGAAGGGGCTAAACACAGAGGAAAGGGGAAGTGACCCACTGTTCTATTTACTTCCTGCCCCAATGTCCACAGCCACAGACAAACATCACAAGCACCCTGTCCTCCCATGTAAAAGATTCAGTGCCGGCAAGAGCACCAGGGAATCTTCCAAAAGTCCTGGAGGGGAGGGTGACTACAAGGTTCCAAAGTTAATGTGACTAAGTATAGCACTTGATACTTTGACACCAACCATGAGAAAGTGTCCCTGGCATTCTAAGCATGTAGAGCCAGTGTATTAACTGAACAACAACAACAATGAAAGCACATGGCTTTCCTGTCCTTATGAATGAAGTCAAGGGCCTTGCCATGTCCAGAACTTGTAACTCTGGTGTCCCCTTGAAGGAAAGCCTTGTAACAGGGCACAGTGACCCTCATTACCTGTCATGTACATTGCATGTTCACTGGAGGGGCTGGGGCCAGCTCTGTTCTGAGCTATGACCCAGAATTCATACTGGGTATTTGGTTCAAGGTTTGTCACTGAGCAGTACGATTCTTTGACGGTCACTGTAAACTCTACAGGGAAAAAAAAAAACAAGAATTCAATCCTTAAAATAGGTAAAGTGACTCCAAATTCATTATGCTGAATCCCACTGTAATTGATGGCAAAACTGGGTGCAAATTCCTCCCTTTATGCATACCCATCTGCAGTGTGACTTTGCTGTTTTTCCTACTAAGGAGTTCTGTCTCAGCCAGGTGTGGTTGCATGCATCTGTAATCCCAGCTGCTTGGGAGGCTGATGCAAACGATCTGGAGATACAGCTCAGTGATGAAGCACTCTTGGGTTTGATCCCCAGTAATCCCTCCCAAAAAAGTCTTTCTTGCCATCCCTTGAGGCCAGGCTTACCTATGTGATTTGCTTTGCACCATAGGGCAATGACAAACAGGATCTGAACACAGCCTTGGGAAGTTGAGTGCACAGGGCCTCATCCTCTTGCTGCTGGACATGCTGCCACCACACTTGAGCAAGCCAGAGCCAGCCTTTGGGGACATGGACCCACACAGGAGGTCCCAGCACCCAAGTGGCCGTGACCATGCCATGTGGGACAGTAGATGAGTGAGGCCAACCTTGACCACCTAGCCCTAACCAACATGGCTCAGATCAGAATTGCCCAGCCAACGTAGCATTATAAGAGAATAAGTATTTTTTAAACCACTAAATAGGGGAGGTGCAGTTATGCAGCAAAAATGGGTACAATGCTGACCACTCCAGAATCCTGTAAGGCAGGGGTAGCTTGTTAATCCACCCTCTGATGTTGGCTTCATTCTAATGATGTGTCCACTTTAGAGACCTTCATGGATAGCCCTGGCAAAGCCCAACACTGTGGCATGTGTGTGTGTGTCTGCAAAGCAGTTCTGACAGGCTTGGCTCCTGGCAAAGGCTGTGGCAAATTGGCTCTTGCTTTTCCCAGGAACTGCCATTTCTTCCTGGCTCTGTGTGGAACGCTGGTCTCACCTGCCCCAACCTGCGCAGAGATAGTACTTGGCCCTGATGCTCATCCTGGTCCTGCCACACTTCACTGTATTACCACAGACAGATCATTTCTTCAGACCATTCTCAGCGTCCTTGTCCGTAAAATGGAGCTCTCTGAGTCTCATTATGGGAAACCCTCTCTGACCCCATGCATCTAGGCTGGCCTTGACCCCCAGTTTCTGCAGGTATTCCCAGAGGGTCCTGTACTCTGATCTTTCCTTCTTGCTATCATTTGATAGGAATCTCCTAAAGGCCCATACATTGAAGGCTTGGTCTCAGCTAATGATGCTATTGGTAGACAGGGGAATCTTCAGAAGGGGGCCCGAGAGGAGAGAGGTTAGTATAGGCAGAGCCTTGAAGGGTATACTGGGGGCTCCTTCCTTTCAGTTGTGTTTCTTGTGTCTGCTACAAGGAGAGCAAGTTCCTTTGCTACACATTGCCATGTGCAGTATTTCACGACAGATACAAAGTCACTGGAGCCCAGTTACCCAGGATTGAATTCTCTGAAACAGTGAGCCAAAATAAACCATTGCTCCTTAAAAATCGATTTACCTTAGGTATTTGTTACAGTTTCTCTTGTAGCACAGGGTTGCAATAAGAAAAGCCAGACTAACCTCCCAAAATGTGCTAGAACTTAGCCCCCCAGGCCTCCTGAAGAGGAGCATCACTGGCCTGTCCTGCATCCCCAGGCAGAGACTAATCCAAGGACAACTCTGACCTGTTTCTGTCAATACACTCCAGACCATACTCCAGGCTTGGCCTCAGGGTCCTCCCCAATCAGGACCCAGCTTGTCTTTCTGCCATGGCCACCTGCCTGCATTTCCCACTGGGGTTCCGGTCATGAGAGCTCTGAGGTAGACTCCTCCCTTCCCCACCTTGCTGTCACCTCTGATGGGCCTGAACATTCCCATGGGTATTAGCGTGTTCTGAGTGGAGCCTCACCTGCTTGCTCCTTTCCAGGTAGGCTGTCCCGCACTGGCCGGTAGGACAACTGATAGCTCTCCACAGTGTCATCGGCATATAAACTCCAGCACACCCGGACAGAGGAACCTGTGGCTGAGTTGGGGGCCTGTGGATTTATCACTGGAGCAGAAGGAGCTAGAAAAGGAAAAGAGAGAACTCAATCAAAATGAGGAAGATTCAATTAGATACGGATGGTTGTGGCTCCTTTTATACAATCCCTGGTCCCCTAATGCATCTATGGCCTTTGAGAATGGAACAGGGGGCTAGAAAAGGGAATGGAAGATGGGGACACACAGCCTCTCATTCATGAGCCTACAGGAATGGTCAGTGTCCCCATTCCTGCCTGGGCAAATGCAGATGAGCTTGGGAAGCAAGCGTCAGGGACTGGGTCTCAGGCTGAGGTGATCTGTGGTTCTTGCACCAGGACATGGGTCTCTGGCCCTTCTGTGGATTTGGAGATGCAGGGCATCCAAGCTGACAGTCCTGCTGCCCCCAGCTCTGGAGTGAACAGAGGGATGGAACCCTTGAGCAGAGCTGCTCTGCCTTTCCTGGTGGGGGTGGGCATCTGACTGCCATGTCCCATGTTACAATGACATCAGGTTGGGGCAGCCAAATTGTGCTTTACAGATCTATCTTCTGTGGAGTCTACCTACTAAATTAACTCTTCTCTGTGGGTTTAAACTCCGCCTCCTCCACTTCCACACAGTCTCACATACAACCTAGAGGAAAAGTCAGCCCAGTTTTTTCCCTGTCCTCCTTTCCCATGAGAACCTCTCCCTTCACCCCAGGCTTTTAAGAGCATCCTTACTATCAAAGCAAAACTGATCAATCCAGGTGGTGCAAGCACAGCTAAACTTGAAGGAGTTTCCCTAGCTACAGTTCATCTTTTGCTTTCAGGCTGGGGGCTGGAAGATTATGACATGACAGAGGTGAGGAGAAAGTCAGAGAACTACATCCCCAAAGGACAAAGGCCAGGGTTTCAGGAAGATGTGCTCATTATACAGACAAAGAAACCCCTGCAAGGACTATAGTAAGAGGAAGGAGGATCCAGGAGCTTCCCACTACTCAGGAGACACAGGATGCATACAGGATGGGGTGTCTGTATGGGAACTGGTCACAGCACAGTGAAGAAAAACCCCAATGCCACTCAGTGACTTGGGCCATTGTGCCTTTTCTTCTAAATGACCAGGTTTGATTATTGGGCAGCACCATCCCCAGATGGGATAAAAGGCCATTGAGTCAACTCCATAGCTCAGTGAACTCTTCCCAGGACCTAATTTTAAGACTGGAACCCAAGATTCATGGTTAAAAATGATTTATAATGGCAAAACTCTTGAAACATCTTAGTGTCCAAAACTTGAGAATTAAGTAAAAAAATTAAGGTAGATAGTCATTAAAATGATGTTGTGGATGAATTTATCAGTGCAAGAAAATGTCCAGCATAATTTTTTTAAAGAAAGGTCCTGAATTCAATTCCTAGTATAAAAAATATAAAGCAGATTATAGGACAAAAGGACTTAATTTTTAATAAAAATATTGTGCAAGGAAAACTCTAAAATGATATAGACAACACTATTCACAATTGTGTCAATAAATGTTGATAAGGAGAAGGTGAGTAGTGAAAACAAAAGCTAAATTCTAGTATTACCCTTAGATACTGTAACAATATGATAAAGTGCTCCTTGGGGCTGTGTAATGTATTTATGTATATTATCTTAGTTAATTTGGACATATCTTCAGAAACATTATGCTACTCATGTACAGATGAAGAAACCAACCCCCAGACAGTTTAGGGAAATTGCTCAGGGTCACATGGCCAGGAAGTAGCATAGCTGAGATTCTTACTGGCTCCATAGAATTCCAAAGCCTGCTGCTTAGCTCCTATGCTAAGAACAGCCACCCAGGAGGAACGTACATACAGCATTCACGGAAATTAAATCTGGGCCTCTCTTGGTGTAAACTAGGTAGGAAGGCAGATATTCTGAAAGTTAGGCAGACTGTGAACCGAAGATACTTCAAGGCTGCCTAGAGTTTGCTGTCAGTGTGCTGGACACTAAAAATGTGCCTTCAGCCTAGAAGGGCAGCCTCTGTTTTCACACACATAAGCCATAAAGACAAAAATAGAAAGCTAGGGGGAAGCAATATTTGCTTCTAAATCTTTGTAATGTTTTCAGACATTCTCTCTTAAAAGTTAGGGAGTTGTTAGGGTTTTCTACAACAAGACTAGGTTCACATCATATTTATAAAATAGGACGATTTTACTTTTTCTTTTCCAGTTTGGGTGGTTATTTATTTTTCTTTCTGAATTCCTCTACCCAGAACTTCTAGTATTAGGAAGAATAGAAATATTGAGAAATAAAATGGTAGAATAGTAATTGGTAGCAAAATTCAGCTACTGAGATCTATAATCCAGACATTTGAAACAAAAACTTGTTGAAGAAAAAAAGAGAAGTAGATCAATAGGAATCAGAAAGGAACTGACAGGAAAAATCAGAAACAACACAGAAGTTGGTAAGACACTCCATAATGCAGAGAAAGGAAGAAGACAACTTGGACACTTCCTCCAGCTCTCATAGCTCATGGAGAGAAGAACTGGGCTCCCCAGAAGCGAAGTAAGTCCCGGGGCTGCGATATCCAAGGAGAAGTGCCTGTGCAGCCTACAGCCTTGATGAAATGCAGAACGGTGCTGGGTCTTGCTTTGAGTGGACTGTTTCCATATGGTGGGCAACAGCGGGTGAGGTTTCAAGCACGGACATTGGCCATATCACCAGAGAGCATTTCATCGGGTGCCATTTCACGAAAACATTGATTATCTAATTCTGGGACTCAGAATAACTGAAAAACAACTTGACTTCAGGACTCCAAGTGTTACTCTCTCACAGTGACTAGGTGAGAGAAAGACAGCCCTGTGAGACAACTGAGAAGAGGGAGAAAGTTAGAAAGTAATCCTGTAAGAAGTTTGAACTCAGCCTGGGAAGGAGACAGGCCCCAAACGCTGTGGTGAGAAGCCAGACCCAGCTTGAGTGGTGCTCAGAAACATCTGGGTCTGAAGGGCCTGCTGGCATTCATGCTTGAACCACAGATCCAGCACAGAGGTCTGATTGTCTTTCTTATCCACCAACATGAGCAAGACACATCTCAGCCTGGGGTAAACAGAGGGACCTCTGAAAGAAGGGCATAGCTTATAAATTGATAGGCCATAAGGGCAAGACTTATAGAGATGAGTGCCAGACTGCAAATCCAAACCCGCTTACTTATCACAAAGTGCCAGCACTGTACTTAAATCTGATACTGGGGTTTTAATTTAGAAAAAAAAATGTATACCTTCACATCTTTTGCCCTAAAAGAAAAACAATAATATGTGCCATAAGTTTGCCACCACTGGGCTAGGCTGAGGAAACCAAGAACTGAAATCCAAAACTATAGATCTTAGATGGAAACCACTTTTTCAAAAATACAGAGGAAAATAATTTTTTTGTTGTTGGACTCATTTTCTTTCTCCTTTTCCTTTTTTCTATTTTTTATTCTCCACCTTTCTCTCCCTTTTTAATCTTCTATTTCTTATTTTCCTGTTAATTTTATCTACCTCTATAAATATCCTTCTAGTCCATATCAGAATTCTTTGAAGGCAGCAGAGTAGCAAGCAGCATAGAAAGTGTGTCTCTGAGCATTACCATCCAGACCCTGGAATAGAGCAATTTGAAGAAGAGAAGAGAAGTGGGCCAGGAAGGATCTGAAGCAAGAATTGAAATTCATGGGGAGAGCAAAGAAAAGAATTTCAGAGAAGAAGGAGGAGGGAGCCAGTGCCTTCTTAGAGTTGGGACTCACTGTATGGGAGGAGTGGTTCAAATCTGTGTACACACCGTGACTGCTGGCAATACAGAGGCTTCCACAGAGAGAGAAAGCAGTGGAAGCAGACAGTGGATGAAGAGCACTGTGCTAACTAGTGGTAAGTGCTGTGGGATTGGACATCCCTTAAGAGACAGCAATTTTTCAAAAGTCATTTTGGAGAGGGGCCAATTGAGATCAGGACTCAGAACAACTTCTGGGCCCATTTAGTGGCTTCCAGCTGAGTACAAGAAGGTGCTCAGATAATTGCAGGCTTAATGGGTCTGCTCCCAGCCTCAGGGTCAGAAACCAGAAAAAACTTCAGGGAAAAATAAAAGTGCAGGCTCACTGAGATTATCCACTACCCCTCCATAAAGCTACTGTTGGCTTGCTGGGATAAATCAACACAGATGTGGACTCTGTCTCGGTACACTGTCTATCAGTGACAGCAGAGACAAACTTGGAAGTGGACATTTTTGGGGTCTATTTTCTTGTGTTTGTTTTTCTCCTTCACCGTTTGACCTAGTTTTCATAGAAGTGTGAATGTGGTTTCTGGTTCCTTTGTGGTTGCTCTTCTGTTCTTTCTTTTATTTCTTCCTTCTCTCTTTTCCTTCTGTTTTTCATACAAGACAGTTTCCCAAGGTTTTCATGGTCCTCTTTTGTCCTCTAGCCTTGCTTTTAATTTGTTCTCCTTCTTCTATTTTCCCCTAAGCCCTTTAAAATCCGCCCCCCAGAGTAAAATTGAAATATTGAGAGCTTATTTAACGCATACAAGTTTTTGGTTTGCTTTAGATTTTGATATATAACTACAAATCTAGTTTATATGATTAAAGGTGGCAAATTAATGGTTATCTCAATTTGTCATTTTCTAGGCTGTGTTTGATACTGCTGTTATTGCTGATTGTACTGTTTTAGCCAAAGTGACATATGGCTTGGCTTGGTATACCAAGGGTGAGATTGATTAAAGGATCATAGAAAATCCTGTGGGCCAGAGCCAGAGAACCCAGAGGCTGGGCAAAGCATGCAGCAACTTCTCATCCCCAACAAACTGAGGAGGTAGGATCTTGCAACAAACTCAAAACTCTGGAAGTCACCTTTTAAAAGTAATCATTTCCTAAGGAATATAAATACTAGCAGTAAAGCAACTCACCATAGGTAATTGAAAAACGTCAAGCCAGGAATTAAATGAGAAAAAAGTAAAAGAAAATGACAAGATACTTAAACAAAATGCAACCCCAGACATCCAGTTCACCAAAAGCAAACCCAAGAGGCAGTAAGGTGGGACAATCCAAAAGCCACTCACTTAG